GCGGCCGCATTCTGGACCAGTTGGAGCCTCCGGGTGCTCCTCAAGGGGAGCCCCATGTAGAGAGCATTACAGTAGTCCAGGCGGGAGGTGACGAGGGCATGGGTGACATGAATACTTTCTAATCAAGCTGGACATTACTAACTTCTCAGACCTTTGCAAAGTTGGTGGAACAATTAAGATAATCTCCTCTAGGCATCTGATATAACCAGTTAATTTTTTTGACTGGCACTTGGAGGTTTTTCCCGGTGTTTTGAGGATCAGTTCTGCCATGCCATTCCACCAGCTGCCTGTGGAATAGGGAAGCCACAAAGGTGTTAGATATAGGCAGTGCTTTTTTGTAAAAAAAAAAAAAAAAAAGTGCCAGAACTCACACACATCATACAACCCGCCTTGCCTATCCTACAAGGTTTATCTTTGTAGTTGAAAAAAAAAACCTTCAATTTTTAGTGTACCTAAAAGACTAGGATTTTGTTCAAGGCAACTGTGGAAAATCCGTCGAAAAAAGGTGCTGGAACTCCGTTCCGGTGCGTTCTATGACAAAAAAAGCCCTGGCTATAGGTGTTTTTTTTAATATTTTCTCCATGTTCACTGAGGAAACTGCCAGGACTGTATTCTGGGTCTCAAAGACAAAGGGCCAATGAATTACTTTCTCCTCTTTGCAGGGCTCTCAAACGGGGCTGCCGCTGCTTAGAGGTTGATTGTTGGGATGGACCGAATGGAGAACCAATTGTCTATCATGGCTATACATTCACTTCTAAGATCCCTTTCCGTGATGTTGTGACAACTCTTGAGAAATATGCCTTCTGGGTAAGTTGTATGCTTTTACCACAAGAAATACCTGTAGGGCTGAACTCCCCCTATAGGTGGGAAGGAGGTAACGATAAAAGTATGAATTTGTTAGGCTTGAGCAGAAGGAGTTTAATACAGCATAGAACAACGCCAGGTATATTCTGGCTCAGGTATATTGCAAGGTATATTCTGCAAGGTATATTCTGGCTCAGCTCTTTTTGAATAAGGATTTATGTAGCCTTAGAGATTTATTCCATCTGCACTATTTCTCTTATTGTAAGTCAAAATCCCTTCAAAAGCAACTAACCATGGCCAATTATTGATGCTGATGATGAGGTGATGATAATGAAAATTTGTATGCTGCCAAACTGCCAATGAATGCGGACAGCTCACAAATAAAAGTACTTTAAAAAATACAATAAGAAGTAAAATAGAAATAAAAAAGATGGTAACAGTACAAGATCTGGACAGGAATGAAAAAGAAACAAACCCACACAATCCAAGGTGGCTTCACTTACACTTGACAAAGGCCTAGCAGGATGGGAACCATCTGGATCTTAGGGCAAATCTCATTCCAGAAGGCAGGCATTGCTACAGAGGTGTGCTTTTGAGATCCTGATAGATGGCATTGTTTAATCGAAAGAACACACCAACCCTGCCAGACTGAATTTGATGTGTTTGATGGGCAGATACTATACTGTAGCTTTTCATCTTAGAACAGACAAATATTAAAGTTATTCAAAAAGGGACAAAATACCTAAACGGTAACTTTTAAATACAAACACTATCACAGCTCATTCTCTTATTTATCACCCTATGTCTTCCTCTATTATCCAGGTTTCTGATTATCCCATCATTCTATCTATTGACAATCACTGTAGCATAGAACAACAAGACATCATGGCACAACTGCTGAAAGGCATCCTGGGAGAATGTCTCCTCATCAAGACCATTGATGACCTTGTTCCTGTGCAATTGCCTTCACCTGAAGTAAGAACATAGAGTAATTAATAAACTTTCACCTAATGATTATCCAGGCTAGCCCTTTACAAGGACTAGGAGGTGTTTTCAAATTCATAGATAAGTAGATGGACATTGAGCAACTAAAATGCCAGAAAATAACATACAATTTTATTGAAGTTTTCAGAATTCTTCATCAAGCTAGATGGTACAAAAACCAAGAGAAGAAGAAGAAATAGAAATGCCCCAAATCATGACAGAGTTAGCAACAAAATGAGCTTACATAGACCTTTCCTGACTTACATCCACAGCAGTGCAAATATGCACAGCTAACCCCCCCCCTTTCCCCCTGCTACATCACCATACTGTGTTTTTTGTCTCATCCCCAGTCCATATGAGACAGCCTCAAAACATCCTGTTTTCCCCCTTACATTTCATAGTCATTGAAAAATGCATTTAACTAAAAAATGAGTCAGCAGTACAGTCAAGTGACCCACTAGAGATAGCACCAGGCTCACGTCTCTTGGGCACTTTAAGCTGTTGTAGGCACGTTGCCTTCCTGGACCTTGTTTTGTAGGACTGTTGGAAAATTTCCAGGCAACAGGAAATTTCAGGTCTTTCCAACCAGGATCTCCACCTGTGCCTTTCCAGGCTCTTAAGTGGCCCCAGTTTAGACATCTGCATCACCTTGAACAACAATTGACTGATGATGATAGAGGGACTGCACAATGGTTCTCTGCTGCTTCATGGAACAATGCTTCTTGAGATTTTAAACCAGTGTTTCTCAACCTTATCAACTCTAGATGTGTAGACTTCAATTCCCAGAATTCCCCAGCCAGCATGCTCTAAGTGGTACTCTTTGTGGTTTGGGTTGCTTTTTAAAGAGGGATTTACTACTTTTCTGGAAAAGTGCTACGTCCAAAACTATCCAGGAAATAGTTGGACGTCCTTTGAATGCCCCAATGCAAAGTGCTTGCAAAAAAAGTCACAGTAAGTTTTGAACAGAGGTCTAAACTCAGCAACCTTGCCATCTGTCAAAACTCATTCTGGTGAAAATGCTGGGGTCTTATAACCAAAGCAACTTTAGCTGAGCTGCTTCTGTCAAAAGCAATAGAATCATTTTCCTCTTCCAATCTGGTCTCCGTGTCCCCATGCAGGAGTTGAAGCGCAAGATCATTCTAAAGGGCAAGAAGATTGGATATCTGGAAGATTCTCTGAATGAGCATCCAGACAAGATACCTGAACGGGAAGACGTTATTGACGAGGAAGGAAACGAGATGGAAGAAGAGTCCCTGCGCAGTGAAGACAAGAGAAAAGAGAAGGTATGTCGACACCTTCCTGGTTGGCCTGCTGTTTACAATAAGAGAAGGCAACCTGGATCCCTATTTTGTACCTTCCACAAAGTTCCCCAAAATCATGTCACCTAAATTCATTGGCAAATCATAGACTAACAATAGCAATATTTCTGCTGATTTCTCCTCAAAATGGTCTCTGGTAGATTCATTTATCTATTAATATTTAATCCCTCCCTTCTTTGCTGTGAGAAAATTTTATTCCTCTCCCACTATTGGCCAAATGCAGCTTCTAGGATAGTGCCTCGTGTCATTATCATATTTTAACAATAGTCACTTTGGATTCAATACTTGGGGGGGGGCTGGGTTGGGTTACATTACTTGTACAGATGAAATGTTCAAAGACAGGGTACTTTCCCCCATTTTGGCAGAAGTATTATTTGTGAATAATCTGCAGATGAACATTTTTATTTTTATTTTAGAAAGTTAAACATTCCCTCTCCAAGGAACTTTCGGATTGTATTATCTACTGTAAGAGTGTACCATTCTGCAGCTTCCAGCATTCTTGCAGCCACTACAAGTCGTATGAGATGTCTTCCTTCACTGAATCCAAAGCTCGCAAGCTCATCCGAGAATCTGGTGAGAAACTGAGGGTGAAATCTGATGGCAGGCAAAATGGGCCATGGGTATACAATTCTGCCCAATACTATTCTTGCTCATTCAACTTCCTCTACCGCTAGAACTTAGCAGGTACAGGCAGGCTGTAATTCCACGAATTCTGCGTCAGATTAAAAAAGATAAAAATATGTAAAGCCAGCCATAAAGATACAGTAAATAATACTAACAGTAGTATAATAATATCAGATTGGGTAAACTCAGAACTCTACCCATGTGTTTGTTATTCATCCAGGAGGGAATTTCAGCACCAATTAGCCCTATAGCATTGGTTAAAATGAATTTTACTAAAACTGGATGCTTCTGCAATTTACAAGTAACAGTACCTATCCAGCCTTGGAAAGGATGCAAGAAATGTCTGTTTTCCCCCTTTTGTTATGAAGTAACTATTCTGCTTACATTAAGATTTTCTACAACATTCTTTCTCAGAGCTCTGAGAAGGGATGGACTCTTTTCTTAAGCTTATCCTAAGACAAGCCATACATACATAGAACATTGCTTGGTGTGTGTGGTTCTCGATAAATGATAGGTGTTCTAGTATTACAATCCTGCTGGTCTTCTTACCTAATTAATCACTTCTGCCTTTACTGAATTCCTAACAATTGGTGCACTATCTCCCATAGGGAATGACTTTGTCCGCCATAATACCTGGCAACTGACACGGATCTTCCCCAGTGGGCTGCGGACGGACTCCTCCAATTTCAACCCCCAGGCGATGTGGAATGTGGGGTGCCAATTGGGTATGCAAAAGATGAAAGGGACAAGGAGAAGATGAGGAGGGAAAAGAATGTACTGTAATGGTGAGGTTGCTTGATAGCCACTACAAGGCACATTGGCACTTTTACCTAGAGCAAGAGAGCTAACTTTGTTATTTCTTGCTGCAAATTGTCCTGAAGACTCCCCTTACTGAGTGGCCTTTAAACAGCATCAATAAATGAATGAGAAACGTGGTCACAAAAGATGGTAAAATCACCAGCAAGGCAGGTCATTTTAAAAGAAAGTAAAGCAAAGCCATGAGGCTATTGGAAGCCACTAGTGCAGGGGTAGGCAACCTTGGTTCTTTTATGACTCGTGGACTTCAACTCCCAGAATTCCTGAGCCAGCATTGCTGGCTCAGGAATTCTGGGAGTTGAAGTCCATGAGTCATAAAAGAACCAAGGTTGCCTACCCCTGCACTAGTGGATACCTACCAATATCAGGGTGAAATGCACCATATCCCTGAATATTACTTGGTGGGGCACAATAGAAGGAGTGGGCTCTTGTGTCATGTTCTTCATATTGCTGGCCTCCTCAGACAGGAGATAATGGATGATGTTGGTATTTGATCTGATCCAGTGTCTGGTCTCTTCAGCTCTTATTTACAATTATTCATCACAAATGGATATCTCCAACCATTTTACATCATTGCAGTCCTAGTCTGTTGAAAAACAAATGATAAACAATTAGTTTTTTTCTAGGACAAAGTCATTCATTTGCGCTGCATCGTAGACTGAATAGATTAGGAATATCATTTGTGAAAGAATATGAAATTTCACTCTTTTGATACTATTTGTTGTTGCATTTTATGACCTGAGTGAACCATGCTAATCTAGTTTTTATGGTGCTGCTGTTTATATGAGAAAGGAATCATCTCCTCCTCCTCCTCCTCCTCCTCCTCCTCCTCCTCCTCCTCCTCTTCTCTTGTATGTATTGTTGAGCCAGACAAGGGCGAACAGAAATAAAAATTAGAGATAAGATAAACAAAAAAACTGTGAGAACAATAATGTCAGCTCACTCTCTTTTTTGTCAGCTACAGTACACATTAATTGGAGATATGATCTGTACTGTACTTCTCCAACCTGATGCTTTTCAGATTTCTTTTAATGATAATTCTCCAAATTTCCAGAGTGGATGGCATTTACGTAAGCAGTTTTTTGCTTATCCGGTATTTATAGGGTAAGCCCCTCTTTGCAGAGTTTACACTTTGCACTGAGCTATTTTATAAAACACAATAGATGTTTTCACATAGTATATGAATTGTTCTCTGAATTATTGAAACCACAATTAACTGGGTTTGCCTAGCACAAGAAGCAACTCACATTATGGCTTAATGTATTGTGTGAACAACCAGTCACATAATCTGACCCTGAATTAAACAAAACGTCTCTTGGAGAGAGAGTTGACGAAAAAGAAACAAGAGAAAAGAGACCTTGGTGAGATACTCCTGTCCATACTCTAAGATTCTAAATTTTTATTTATTATTTTATTGACAAGGTAGATTAGAAGGAGTAAAGTCACCGGAACTTAAAAGTTTGCCGACCATGAGAGATGGACTTGTATGATGGGCTTTTTAGTCAAAATGGCCGCTGTGGTTATGTGTTGAAGCCGAGTTTCATGAGGGATAGAGAGACAGCCTTCAGCCCTGAGAACCATGAAAGCAGGGGTGAAGGTAACCCCTTGAGCTTAATGGTTAAGGTACTGTACGTGTCTGTACCCATACTTTAAAGGTTTGGGGGAGGTTAAAAAAATATGTAACTTCCTCATGCTCAGCCAGACCAATGAACATAGAGTTCTGCCCCTCTCCAAGTTTTTAAAATTATATATATATACACATTTGCTGCTATGCTTTTATGGTTCAGTAAAGTCCACAATGACCAATAAAAACAATAATTATATTTTAAAGGAATTTTCCCTTAAATTTCCCCTGTATAATGGCAACTTCTATTGGAATGTTCTTTCTTTTGTACCAGAAAGTCTACATATTATGAAATTAACTAAATTTGGAGAGAGTTGCATTTTATGTTCCCCGAAATGGGGTGGGACAAAAGGCAAAAATGAAAACAGAGGGAAAAGTACTTTTTTCTCCACCTTTCCTTTTCTTATTACTGCTGCCATCCTACTCTTCTCCTCTCCCTCCAATCAAGCCAGTCATTTACTTTTGTTTGTTTAAAATTCACATCTCCTCTTTCTGGAACACAGGTTCAGTTTGCCAGCAGCCACACAAAAGAACAGATACAATGAAGGAGCTCCCCAAGAATAATGGCTATCTTCTAGCACAGGGGTCCCCAACCTCTGGGCCATGGACTGCTACCGGTCCACAACCTGTTAGGAATTTGGTCACACAAGCAATGGGCGAGTGAAGGAAGCATCATCTCTGCATGCACAGGATCTAGGTTGTGTGCAAAACCATCCCCTCTCATTCTGTGGAAGACATTTTTTCTTCCGAAACTGGTCCCTGGTGCCAGAAAGGTTGGGGTCCACTGTTGTAGCAGACCCTCCAGCTTCTGCACTCAAAGGAAATGCTGGCAGAGACCTTTGAGAGCATTTGCCAGAGCAATCAATGACTGACTCAGTAACATCAGTGCCAATGCAAAAGTGGCACTTCTAGGGTCAACTGGCAGCTGGGGACAAAAGAAGCCCTGGGCATTCTAGGACTCCTGATGAGTTGCTCTTTGTGTTGAGCAGCATGTTGCGAGTTTCAGCAGTTAGTACTTTTACAGCTTCTGCCTTGTAGCTTTGACATGAGGTTCATGCTCATGCGATCTTCTCTTTCAGATCATTAGTGGGCAGCAGCTGCCCAAGATTCCCAACAGCAAAGAAGGCTCCATTGTGGATCCGTTAGTGCGAGTGGAGATTCATGGGATCCCTTCTGACAGTGCCAAGCAGGAAACCAAATACATTGACAACAATGGTGAGCCAGTCTTATTGTAAAGATGAAGGACAGTGGGCCTTTGATCTTACGCGTTTTCCTTATTTTTGGTTCATTCAATTCCTATAGCTTTCCCACCTCAGAAATGTGACTCTGGTTAGCTCCCAAGTTAATACAACTAAAACTGAGCTCATATAAATAAAATTAAAAACAGTTGAAACAGATAAAAGAACCAAAAATATTTAAAAATGAGACAGTAAAGACCTATACAGCTCACAAACAAGACAGCCATCTCTCAGGTTCCCCATTTGCATGGGATGATGACATAGGGGTAGGCAACCTTGGCTCCTTTATGACTCGTGGACTTCAACTCCCAGAATTCTTGAGCCAGCATGGCTCAGTTTGGAAACTCTTCCTTTGCTGGCTCAGGAATTCTGGGAGTTGAAGTCCATGAGTCATAAAAGAGCCAAAGCTGCCTACCATTGACATAGCTGTATCCTCAGAGACCCACAAGGTTAGGATCAATTTAACCTCAGGGGAGATGATGGTGCTGATGGTGCTGTGACCCCTGTCAGCTAGAACTCCTTCGTAGATGGAATATGCCTGTTCTGCAATCTGTGCCAATGAAATTCAGATTCTCGGTGGAATAAAATAAATCTGTCACTGCAATAAATATACAAACCTGGGGAGAGACAATATTATGTAAATATGCCAAACTTCTTAAGCAACAGGGTACTGCAGTATTTGTACCTCTCTGTATTAAGCCTAGCAAAAACTAGTTGGCAAAGCCTTCTTCAGACTAATGGAGGATATTGTTCTTATGCTGTTTTATATCAATTCAATTTATATCAATTTAATATATAAATTACATCAATTATATTTATGTTGTTTTACAGGGATATTTCTTTTTTAAAAAATTGTTAGTAGATTTGAGAAGGTTTTTTTAAAGAGCATCTCCAAAGTACATTGGCTAAACATTCCTATATAACAAGACAGCAAAGTATAGGAATCAGTAAAAAAAATCCAAAGCTGAATCTAATTTTACCACAAAATGCAACAGATTTGCCCAGTTTAATCCAGTGGAATTTCATTATGGCTAACCTTTTCTTCAGAATTTCAGTTGCTTAATTCCACCCAATTTCAATTATTTTATTTTATTTACCTTTGTATTCATGTTGGAAACATGAAGCAAAATATTTCAGAAAGAAAGAGGAACTTTGTCAAAAATACAATTTATCTGCCAGTTACCCAGATTCCATACTATCAGCCATAAGGACTTTTTTTTTTCAAGCATTCAGAATAGAACTTGCACAACCGGGGTGTTAAGATGATTGTGAGACAAGAAGGGAAATAGAAGACAATTGTTTAAGGAAGCATATTAGAAACAGCATTGAAGAGGGGAAATGGGTGAGATTTTTAGGGGATGAGACTGGCACAGTCTGAGGCAGCGTTTCTCAGTCTCAGCAACTTTCGGAGTTGCTGATTCTGAGAGTTGAAGTCCACACATCTTAAAAGTTGCCGAGATTGAGAAACATCGGTCTAAGGGAAAGTTAAAAGAGACATTGAAATACCATTTAGTGAGGGCATCTTCACTTTATTTCAAAATTCTTGAACAGGTTTTAATCCACACTGGGGTGAGTCCTTTCGGTTCTACGTGTGGGTCCCAGAACTGGCCCTTCTACGTTTTGTGGTGGAAGATTATGATAAGGCGACTTGGAATGACTTTGTGGGCCAGTATACACTACCTCTCACCAGTGTCAAAGCAGGTATGGGACTCCTTATTACCCTAGTCAAGAAGTGGAGTTACCTCCCACCAAGTCCTTGGGATAAAAATAATAATGGTCCCTGTGACAAAGGAGTTGGGGGAAATCACTTGCAACTACATTGGATATTCCTTTTCCAAGAGTATTGCAGTAATGTTTAATTACAAGAGGCTATGACCCCCATCTGGCTGAATCTCCTGTTAAAATCCTATCTATACATCTGGGAATTTGTTAGGTCTTCTACCAAGGATATCCTCCTTTCAGCCCAGCTCTAGGGAAAAAAGGAAAGAAAATGTGCTTTCAATCTTTTTTCAGGTGACATCAAGGGCTATATTGTTGTTGTTGTTGTTGTTAATTGCGAAGTCGTGTCCGACCCATCGCGACCCCATGGACAACGTTCCTCCAGGTCTTCCTGTCCTCTACCATCTTCTGGAGTCCATTTAAATTCACACCTACTGCTTCAGTGACTCCATCCAGCCACCTCATTCTCTGTTGTCCCCTTCTTCTATTGCCCTCAATCTTTCCCAGCATTAGGCCCTTCTCCAGTGACTCCTTCCTTCTCATTAGGTGGCCAAAGTACTTGAGTTTCAATTTCAGGATCTGGCCTTCTAAAGAGCAGTCAGGGTTGATCTCCTCTAGGACTGACCAGTTTAATCGCCTTGCAGTCCAAGGGACTCGCAGGAGTCTTCTCTAGCACCATAGTTCAAAGGCCTCAATTCTTTGTCGCTCAGCCTTTCTTATGGTCCAACTTTCACATCCATACATTGCAACTGGGAAAACCATGGCCTTGACTATACGCACTTTTGTTGGCAGGGTGATGTCTCTGCTTTTTAGTATGCTGTCTAGATTTGCCATAGCTTTCCTCCCCAGGAGCAAGCGTCTTTTAATTTC